CTCCCCGTTGGGAACTGGCGTCGCTGGCACGGTAGCAACCCGGAGGGGTCCCGGGGGAGGAGGGATCCGTCCCCGTCCCCCCCACCCCCCCGCGGCGCACCCAGGCCCTCGCTGCAGTATCTGCTCGACTTTCACTCCGTGTTCAACTTCCCCTTCATTCTTTATCCCCGTCCCCCCCACCCCCCCGCGGCGCACCCAGGCCCTCGCTGCAGTATCTGCTCGACTTTCACTCCGCGTTCAACTTCCCCTTCATTATTTATTCCTGACCGATGCCATGAGCCAGCAGCAGGGGGATTGATGGATGGACGGGACAACAGACAGTGGAGTCCGTCTCCCCCTGGGCCCAGCCACAGCTGGGGGGGGACGCTGCTGCCCCACTTCCCCCTCCCAGTGTCCGGGGCTGCCCGGACCAGCACAGCCAGGGCCACTTCTCTTGCTGCAGGAGAGAACAGCGGGACTTCATGACACACCACGGAGAGGTGGTGGGTGAAGCACCCACCCATCCTGGAACACCCAGCGGGGGGGTGGGGCCATCCTTGGACACCCAGCAGGATGATGTGGGACACTTTCAGCCCCCCTGGGAACTGAGGCTCTGCAGTCCCAGTGCTCCCACCCATGGTGAGCAGCAGGACCTCCACCCCGACCGGTGCCCCATGAGACAATGTAGCCCTTCCCCTGCCCCAGGCACAACAAGGACCACCCCCAGGCTTCTGCCAAACAGGAAATGGGTTGAGAGATCTCCAGCCCCCCAGGAGGCATGAAACTACCCCATGTGCTCACTTAGCTCCAACCCCTGCGACAGGGCCATGGCACGGGGTGGGGTGGGGGGGCGGCAGCACACTTCAGGGAGGGCATATTGCCCAGTGTGGGGGCACCCTAGCCGCAGGACAGGGAGGGAGGACACATTTGGGAAGCACAGGGCTGGGGTGGCTGCAGGGTGCTGGGCACAGCACAACCCTGTGGCACATGCTCAGGGACCAGGGCAGAGACCCTGGCTGCAGCCAGGGGCCCCAGGGCCATTCCAGGGGCTGTCTGGCACAGCGTGAAACCCAGGGAGGGAGAGCACAGAGTAAAGACACCAGAGCCAGGTGGTAAGACAGGGAATGCTTTTTATTTAGACCCACAGGAGAGGACGGGTGGGTCCATAACAGACTTTTCCATTGAAGCACAGACCATTGAACAGGACAGACCGCGGTGCACACACTGCTACAGACCCACGGGGGGCGGGGGGGGGGGGCTTGAACTAGGTTATGTTCCCTGTAAGGGCAGCACTGTTTTGAGAGTTTAGTAC